CACCCCTATCTCGTCCCCTTTCTTTTCCCCCGCATACTTATGCCCGTTATAAAGCCCCCGCCCCCTTCTGCCCCCCAGTTCGTCAGCCTTTTCCCCCTTAACCTTTTCCCTCGTTGGACTTTCCCCTTTGAGCTCTGGGACTAGCCTTTTTTGAAAACCCCTTTGCTTTCTCTAACTTCTTAAACGGTTTGACCGGGTTTGGGGGGTTTTCCAGACTGGTGCTGCATACCCAGTAGGGGCCTAACAAACACAGGGTCCCGTGTCTTAAAACGTTTCCCTTTAAATTAAAGGGGATCGGAACGCAAATTCCCCGGGTTTTCCCGGGCGCCCGTATCGCAGCGTTTTTTTGGTTGATTGTGCCTCCGGGGATGTCCCTCGGTGTATGGTCCCCCCCAAGGTTTTCCCCTCCCTGAGTGGGGTCGTATTTCTTTGTCCACCTAGCCTATACTCCTGTCTGCAATCTTTTTTGCCCCCCCCCAACCCTTCGGGAAATTTTTGGCTTTTGGGGCGGGAATAAATTTCGAGAACCCCAGTTGCGGACCAAAATGTCCACCTGTCCAGGTCTTTTTGGCAGTCCTGCCCCCATCCTCCCCCATTTAATTTTTCTCATCAACTCACGTATCTCGAACGGGGACACTTCAGAGTCTTTTCCTTTCCCAACATTTTCGTTCACTATAAAAAAAATAGCACGGGCCTAAAAAATTTTACCCCTGTGGGACCCCACTGGGAACAGGCCCCCCCTGTGAAAAACCTCTTCAAAAAACCATGACTGGGTTGCTGCCCCCCTTTTGGGGTCGGGAATTCCCTTAACCCTTCAGGGCCTCCCTTTTTAAAAGGGTGCCCCTTTAACCCCAGCTTCAGCCCCAAATCTCTTGGGGGAACTTGTAAAAGGGGCCTTCCTCAGCCCGGAAAACCAATCCCCCCACCCCTCCTCCCGGTTTTAACTTCTGTTACCTTGTCATAAAACTCCAGGGGGTTTTGGATAAAAGATTTGCCTTCCATAAAACCCCATGCGGTTTTTCCCATTTATAATCTTGTTCCTTCCGGGTTTTTCGACCACCTCCCCCTGAAAAATCTTCTCCATGACTTTAACAAAATACATGTCAGAGACACGGGTTTCTGAAGTTTATTTTCCCTTTCGTTTCTTTTTCCCTTTTCCCAAAAATTTTAGGGGGACAAACTTTTGCTGTCTTCCTTTTTCCCCAGGTAGTTCCCCCGGGTTTAAAGGGGATGTTTGAAGATTTTTGGTTAAGGAAAGCAAAAGCATCTCTGCTCCTTCTCAAAGGGCCCCCCATGGGGAGATGTTGCCCGGGTCCCCATCCCTTTTTAGGTGTCAAGGTCACTTAAACCCTTTTTCCCACCTCCTCCCCAGTTTTCAAATTTCACCCAAACACTTTTGGGTAATTCCCCTTGAGGGGTTCCCTTCTGTGCTGTCTTCCCACACCCCTTTCCCTTCTCCCTTTTAGGGGTAAAAACTTTCCTTTAAATCTCCGGGTTCACTCCTCACAAAAACCCCCTTTGTCATTTTCTTGTGAGTTCCCCCCTTTCCCCTTTAAATTCTACCCACCGGGTCTTTTACTGTTGTCCTTCCCCTGTGTGGCAAAAACAACATTTTGGGGGTCAGTCTTTGATTCTCGATGCAAATTCTTTTTAAATACTGTCGCGGGGGCCCCTCCCCCTTACCTGTGCGTACTCATTCCTGGCTCTGCGACTGATCTCCCTATTTTCGGGTTTCCCCTCCCTTTCCCTGTATTTTTTTCCTTTCTCTATTGAAATTTGTTTTTCCCTTTCCTTAAAACCGTGGGGTAAACCGGGGGTTTCGTTCTGGGCCCCTTTTCCCGTTGTTTACTGGTTCCCCTTTGGGGAATAAACCTTTCCACCCCCTCCTTGCTTTTGTTGTTACATATTCCATCATTTAAATTTACTGGTTTTCCCTGCCATTTTTTTTCCCCTTCCCCTTCCCACGGGACCTCCCCCCCAGGAATTTCTTAAACCCTATGTAGTCCCCTCTTTTATAGTCGGGGGCTTTTCCCATTAACTCCTTTTTATTCTCTCCACTTGCATTTCTACTAGTATTCAAAGCACAAAAACCCAAACCCGTGGTCGCTACTCCTGGGGAAACTCCCATATTTAAATGTCCTCAATATCGGAGCGGGCCCAGGGGGGGAACACAAGGTCCAATTTGCTGGTTCTTTCCCCCCCCTCTCACTCTGGTAGTGCCCTTAACAGGGTTGGGTGCTTTGGGGTTTTTCCCCAGCCCCCAACGCCCCAAAACTTTCCTGGCTCTCCCAGTTTGGGGAACCCCCCATGTGGCCCCCCGGGTTTTTCCCCAGTAACCCCTGTGGTTGAAATCCCCCAAAAACCAGCAATTTTGCTCTGCGGAGTGAGCTCTTCTTGCCACCTCAGCAAGTTGCCCCACCATTCCCTCTGTTGCTCTCTTCATTTTCCCTTTTGGCCCCTGCAGTTCTGTGGGGTTAAATACATCATTTGCAATAAACCCTTTGTTTTTCCCCAGACTAAAAGTTACCGCTATGAATCTTTTTTCCTCCCCGTCTCATCTTTTCCCTTCCTTTTTCCCTCAAATTTTCCCATCGTTTTTTCCCGAGCAGAGAAACCCCCACCTCCCCCCCGCCCCCTATTTTTCCTAAAGACGGTACCTGGGGGGAAGATTGCATCTTTTAAATTGCCCTCCATGAGTTTTTTTTTCTTTTAACTGCTAGATTTTCGGGGGACTTCTCATTGATTCTTTCTTGCCATTCCTAAAGTTTATTCTTGGTTTTGTGTGGGGTTGTGTGTGTGTGGTGGTGTGTGTTTTGTGTGTTTTTGGGTTGTGTGTTGTGTGTGTGTGTATATATATGTATATATAATATATAAATATATTAAAATATAAAATATATATAAATATATATAAATATATATATACAGTGGACCCCCGCAAGCGAATTTAAATTTCCGTGCAAAGGGCTGGTCGTTTTTTGGAAAATTTCGCTATGCGAATTAATTTTCCCCAAAAGAAATAATGGAAAAAAATTTAATCCGTGAAAGCCCACCCAAAAGATAAAAAAAAATTTTTTTTACCAAAAAAAAAATTTTAATTTTGTACACAAAAAATGAAAAAGGCATGCAAAATTTTACATGACATTTTCATTTTTTGAAGCCTTGGTGATGTTTTGAGGGAAATGGGAGGGGGGGAGGAGAGAGTTTTTAGTGTTTAAAAGGGAAAAATTTCCCCCTTCCAAAAAGGACTTGAGGTAGAAATCCTTTTGGGGGGTTATTTCCCCTTTCTTCTTTTTAATCCCAAACTGGGCCCAGCTTCAGAGTCACGGGACCTCTTCGCAAAAACAAATCGTCCATAGAGCTTTTGAAAAACCTCCCGTTCCTTTACGATTTGTCAAAAAGGGGGCCAAATAAAAATTGTCATTAAAATTTAGCCCACCAGAAACGGCTTCCCAACCCAGCTTTGTCAGGGTTTTTTTTTCATCCAAAAAGGGTTTGCATTTCCCAATCCACTGTGCAAAAATTTTTCCCTTAATTTTTGAAGTGGGCAAAAAGGATTCCAAAAATTTGGCATAGGTTTTCTAAAGGGTTTACCCCCCAAACCCCCTTAAAAAACTTTCTTTTTTTCCATACTAATTCCCCCCTTTTTACCACGGGGTTTGGCACTAGAAGCTTTTTTGGGGGGCCCATGGTCCCCTTATTTTCCAGAAAAAAGCACCGAAAACACTGAAATAAAACGAAATATTCCGAGTTTTATGCTGAATGTTACCGCGGGGCCGGGCTGGAAAAACAATGGACGCGCCCTCGGACGAAGGTCGCTGGGGGGTTTTTTTGCCCACATGGGGCCCAAAATTTTTGGCGAACAAAGCGTTCGCTATCCCGGATTGTTCGCTATCAAGGCGTTCGCTAGGGGCGGGGCCACTGTATAAACCATATAAAAATATATATATAAACATATATAAAATATATAAAAAACTCTATATTTTTTCATATAAATTTTTTTTACAAAAATAAAATATCCATCATAAATATAAAATATAAAATTTAAATTATACATCCATAATAAATATAAAATTATATTATCCCAATACATAAATAATACATACATATATATATATATTAAAATATATATATATATTATAAAAATATAAATATATATATATATATATAAAAAATTAAAAATAATATATATATAATTATATAAAAATAAATATATATATATATATATATATAATATATATTGTGTGTGTGTAAAATATATAATAAAATATAATAAATAAATGTGTGAATAAATATATATATATATATTTTAAAATAATATATATATAAAAAAAATTTTACATGAAATATAAATATAAATATATTATAATAAAATAAAAATTTTATAATATATATAAATTTTAAATTTTTATACATAAATATATTTATACAAATATATATATATATATATATATATAAATATAAAATATATATATATATATAATATAATAAAAAATATATATAATAAAAATATATATATGGTTGTGGTGTGGGTGTGGGGGTGTACAGTATTAATCTTTTTTAACTGAAAAAAAATTTACATGATGCCAATAGTCAAAATTTTTAAGAAATCGCATTGCTACTGCCCCGATTTTTTCCATTTTTTTTTTTTTAAAAATTCTTTTAAAACTGTACTAAATTTTAACTTTTGAACTAAAAAATTCTAATACTGTTTAAATTTTTTTAAAAACAAAAAAAACAATAAATACGGCTCATAAATTTTTAAATGGTTTTAAACAAACTAAATAATTTAAGGGATTATTTCTAGCAAGCTACAGTATTTAAAAACCCTTTTAAATTTTCCAAAAAGGAGTCTTAACTCAAGGGAGTTTTCTTATATCATTAAACAAAATTTCCTTTTTCCCCCCATGATGTGGCAACCCAAAGACAACACATATATACTAAGCTCATTCTCTAGCCCGTGTTTCTACAGTGAAGTATTTAAATAAGGTAAGGGGACTCACTTCTTGAGGCTGTAGTTCTTTGGTGGCCTTCATCATCATACTGTATTATGAAAGGGCTTTTTGGGGCCCCGTAAGGGGGTGTGAAAAAAATTTTCTCATTACAGTAAAAAATAAAATGATACGTATATTCAGCAACCCTTGACTTTATGACCCAAAAAGAGGGAAAACTCTAATTTTCCCTTTAAAACAAATGCCTTTCACCAGCATGAGGGGATCCTTTTTCCCTTGAAAGGATAGTAATGTAGTAAAAGCAGTAATATTAAAAATTTAAAAATTTCCCCCTATTTCCCGTTGTATATTTTCCCGAATATTTTTCAAGCATCTGGGGGAAGGAGAAATGATTTGTTAAAAAACAATAAAACCTCCCCATTAAACAATATTGGTAAAATTTTGGAAGAAAAATTTGGGGGATCCATTCTAAAAAAATTTTGGAAAAAAAATGGGCAAAAATGTGTAATTTTGCCTTTTTCCCAAAGCAATATAGTCCGGTTGGGCCCTTTTGAAGCATTGTGCCAAGTCCCTAACTCCAAAAAGTTTGTTCAGATGGCAAATCAAAAAAAATCTTTACAACTCCTCTGACTCAGAAAAACAGTCATTTTTTTTTCAACATTATCAATCAACCGGGGGGAGTTACACCTCATCACCCAACCCCCAAAAAGGTAATTTTAAAAATTTCTTTAAAATATTTAGTCCAAAAACTCATACATACTGTACTGGGAAAATATAGGGTTTGAAACCTGTAATTCCCAAACTTTAAATGTCCCCAAGTTTTTTTTCCCGCGTCAACAGACCAATTTCCCCTACTTAAAAAGACAAAACAGTGATCATGAAATATAAAAATTTTATAATTGGGGGTTCAGATAACCAGGGATTATTCTGCATTTCCCCCCCCCCTTTTATCAGTCTATTAATGAGAGGGAAACCCGTACTGTATTAAAAACTGGCAGGATGCTGATCTTTTTTATTTTTCTTTAATTTAAAATGCAAGATTAAGATTAAGATTTTTATTTTGGGCAAATTACATGGTTGTAAAAGAGGAATATAAAGTTGGGGGTTTCATTTCCAAGAAACCCCTTTTTAATTTAAGCAAATTTTGGGCAAACTTTAAAAATTTAAATAAGAATATAAGGCAAAAAATACATACATATTATATCAGGGGTCACATGGTTTTGATAAGGTTTTTGTACAGACTTTTTAAACTATTTAATTTTCTTAAAAAAGATTACAGTATTACAATGGGAACAATTTAAAAACAATTTTCAATTTTGATGTATTAAAGTTTAGTACTGAAAAAAAATGAAAAATGGTATTAAAAATGGAAAAAATTTACATTATGAAAGTACTGTATTAAAAATTCCCACTACTATTTAAAACAATGAAAAAAAAAAAACATCCTAATTTTGAAGGGAGAAATGGTTGAGGCAATTTATCAGCACAATAAGAATAGCCCTTTTTAGAAACTGGGGAGTGATTTGGTACGGTTTTTTTCCGGTTTTGTTTTTTGGGTTTTATGAGGTGATTTCTTATAGGGCCTTAAACTGATTTGCAGAACAGGTGTCCTTTAGTTTTTTTCTTGGGAATGAATTTTCCCGATTTTTGGGCCCTTTTTCGTGCATAAATTTCTGAAAGGGAAAAGAAACACGGGGGAAATCAAAAGAGTGTCCCGTGTCTCTTTTTAAAGGTTGTGTGCTGTTTTTGGTTTAAACAAGGGGGAGTTTTAGAGGGGTTTACCGTAGATATAGTGTTTTTGTGTATGTATAGGCAAAAATAATAAGTGTGGGTGTTTTTTAAATTTTGCAAGTTTTAAAATCTTTAAAAAGGTGGAGGGGTTTTCGAATGGGAGGAGTTGTAATCCTCCCCACTGCAGCTTTTTTTTGGGTTAAAAATTTAAAAGGGTTAAAAGGGAATTTGCTGTGTTTACCCCATGCCAAATACCATAGGTGAGGTTTAATAAAAAGGAGATGGGACAAAGCTAGAAAAGCGATTTTGGGGGACCAGTACTGTACTCGAAAAAATGCCCCACTGTTTTTTGGGGACTTTTTTTGGGAAAATTTTCCGTATTTGGGTCTGAAATTTTAGAAAAGGGAGCAATGGGGGAGACCTAGAAATTTTCCATCTTTTCCTTTTTCGAGATAGGGGAACTATTTATCAATATGTTTAAACTGTACATTTGAAACTCTGTTTCCAAAAAACAAAGAAATAGGTTTTTTCTATAGTGAAGTAAGTTTGTTTGGGAATCATCCAAGTAGATTTTTTTTTTGTATTTCCCGCATTTACTGTGTCTTTTTGTATGGTTGGGTTTGGGGGAGAAAAGACAAAAAGTTGTGTCAAACTGCAAAAAAAAAATGAGTTCAAGGAATGAGATGGGATTTGGTAATCATTTTATTAAAAAGAGAAAGAGAAGTGTGCCAAGAATCCCCCTGTGGGACTTCAACAAAAACGGTTTTTTGTAAGGAACCCGGCTCCCTTTGTGATACATAAATGGGTTTTATTATTAAGATAAAATTTTTGGTAATCGAGAGTGTGTCCTCGACCCTGTAAAAATTTTTAGTTTTTGGTGCAAAAGGTAAGGGGCCCAAATGTATCAAAAGTTTTTTGCAAGTCTATGAAAAGTTTCCCCGGGGAAAACATTTTTCTTGAGGCAGGTATATTGTTTTTTGCCTAAGTATAACAGCATCAATTTTACTTTTTTTTTTGGGGCCCCGAACCCAAACTACAAGGGGTTTAAATATGCTGTGAATACAAGCAGGGGTAGACTTGTTTGTGTATTAATTTTTTTTGAAGGGTTTTAGATAGTAGGGACAGGCTTTATATAGGGGCCCATAAAATTTTTCAATTCAGTTTGGGTCACCTCCTTTTTAGGATTTTGGGGGGACTCTTTCTGCTTGAGAAATAAATAAATAAGATTTTTCGTTCAGATTTTTAAACCCCCGGGGGGTTAGCCACCCAGGATAAACCCCAAAAAAGTCGTGCGCATCAAAGGGCTGTCCAATTATTTCCATTTTGGGGGCCTTAATCTTGTCCCCCCGGGTGCACCCACACCATCGACCAAAAACCCAGGGACCTTTTGCTGCTTTGGTGAACAAACAAAGGGGTAAGGAAAAGGTCGAATTTTCCCCCCCCCGCCAGGGAAACGAACCCGGGCCCTCCGGGTGAAGCGGAGCTTTTGCCACCAGGCCACCCCGGGGGTGGAAAATTTAGTGGAATTTTTTTAAAGAAGTTTGGGGGAATAAAATTTGGGGACAACACATTAGAAGCTTTTTTCCTACATGAAAATTTGGTAAGTTAAATTTTGGTCCCCTGCTTGTTCCCTTTTGTGTTCTGATTATAAGCAAATTTCAGTAGGGGTTTTTTGGGGGGGGGTAAAAATAAGTATTAGGGGGAGTTGCCAGTGAGGTAGTCCCTTTTTTGGGTTTAATGTTTTACCCGGGGGGTTTTTCCTTGCTAGTTTTTTTCCTAAGGGGAGAAAAAAAAGACATTAAATTGGGTTTGGGAGTATTGGTTGGGTGTAGGAAGGTTTTGCCCGGTTTTTTTAAATTAAAAAATTTTTTTTTGTGACGCTTTTTGATCCTAAAATTTTTTAGATAAGGTTTTCCAGGTCTTTTTTTAATCAAATTTTTTTGTCCCTGAAATCTGTTTTCAAATTTCAGTTTTTTTGGGCCTCCTTATTAGATTGGGTTTGCATTGACGTAACGTTTTGGGGAGAAACCTTTGTTTTAGACCCATTCCTTTTAAATGTTTTTCAATACATGAAAATTTTTTATTAGCAAATTTGAAAGGAAAGCTGTTTTTTAACCAGGGGTTTTTATCTCTTTTGGGTTTAATCTGCTTTGTTAAATTTTTGGGCAATGTTTTTTATTGAGGTTTTTGGGGTTTAAAATGTAAAAAAATAATTTAACACATTTTATCAGTATTTGAAGCTGGGCTGCTAGCTCGTTTTTTCCATCAATGTCAGTAAAAAGCGAAATCAAGTTTTTAAAGAAAAACTTCATGTATCAGAAATTCTTAGTTTTTGTCCCCGGGGCAAATTTTTTCACAAAATTTTTTTTATAGAAGAAAAGGGGTAGTGGTCAGTGGTGTTAAACCCTTTATTATCTTTCCCTTTTTAAGGGGGTATGTGTTTTGGGCCCAGATTTTGGTCTAGTAATGAGGCATTTGGACAATGTTTTTTAAGGTTTTTTTTTATTGTTGGTAGAATTTAAACAACTGTTCATCGTGTTTGTGAATTCAGTTACTTGTGGGTCATGGTCATGGATGAGATTTATGTTGAAGTCCCCTGTAAGTATTAGGTGGTGTTTGTTCATTTCAGCGCTAGTATTATGTTTCTTAGTTTTTCACTAAAAAAGTAAATATTGAAGTGAGGAACTCTATAAATTGCTCCGACTGTTAGAGGTTTTGTAAGGTCTTTGGATATAAATTTAGCAAAGCTATATTCACCATGTTCATCCCTTGTGCAAGTAGACTTCATACATTCTAGTTCATCAGAGTGGTATATAGCTGCTCCACCTTCGACAGAACTGAAGGAGCATTGGTACTCTTCAGCTGAACTGAAGGGGCCCCTGGCACCCTTCTTTTGTTGAACTGAATTGGCACTGGCACCCTCCATTTGGACAAATGGAACAATGGAGCTGACAGAATAGGACTCAAAGTGGATGAAGTTGCTGATGTGTAAATTGCACCCAGACCATTAACTTCGCACCAGTGTAATTCCGTAAGTTTTCCATAAAATTTTGTACTTTTAGTGTCATTACCTTCAGAAAACAAATTCTTCACCATTTCAGAGGAAAAAAATTATTTTTTGTTTTATGTGGGCACTGGGAGCAATATTAATTTTGCAGTCTGGAGAGTGAAAGGGTTAAGATATCCTGGTTTACCCAATACATAAAGACCCAACTGGTATAAATAACTATAGGCCATTGTTATGTAAAAATCTTCAAAAAACTTATTCATTCTAGTGTCCCATTATATACTCAACTCCTGCCAGTTTGGTTTCTGGCCAGGAAAAAGTACAAAAGATACAACTACAAAAATGCTT